TTTCTAGACCTCTGGGAACAATTCTTGTAGCACCCCAACAGAAGGCAGAAGAGCTGTGCTCTTGGGCATTTTTACGTCTCTAGCATCCAAGGCAGCATCTGCTGCGCTGTAAAGATAATAAATGCTTGCTGAATGATGGAATGGGTGGATGAACGAATCTGTCCGCTGGCCCTCTCCCTCCCTGCTATCCTGCCCCAGCTTCCCTCTCTGCCAGGTAGGATGAAAACAACCGAAATGCTCTGAAACTTCCCATCTCTCCCGCCTCCCTCTCTCTACCTGCCTCTCTTTCATCTGGTCCTGAGTAAAAAGAGAAGTGGCAGTCATGGGCTTCTACCTTCCTTCTCATGGCCACTCTCGGGGACAGAAATGAGTGACTGCCCTTTGCAGGCGACTCAGCGGACGAGGGGTTTTCCCAGGTGCTGGCGACTGACTAAGATTATCCTGAGACCAGCTGAATGCAGCTAGCGCTATGAGCTGGGCCCACAGCATATCGACTGAGGTTGAAGGGTATGGAGAGGGGGGGATGGGACTCTGGGAGCTCACTCCCCAGACCCAGGAGTTTGCCCATCCCCATACTCCAGGTCTGTGTCAGGCTGTCACCCTACAGTGGACAACAAGATCCCCCCACCTCTACCCTGCACCCACTCCCCAAGAATGGCACCCCCTCACACAAGCACACGCACGTGTGCAAGCACATGCACACACAAACTTAAAGAGGTGAAAGCAATAGTTGCCTTAAATATAGTTTATTATTGTATAAAACTGTCCCCTGTTGGCACCCAGGTTTCTTCCCCTTTGTTCGCGGCCGCTATGCAGGGCCGTTTTACCTGTGGCTTCCTGGCTTCTCTGCTCTTGCACAGGCCTGAGGGCTTATCTTAGAAAGAACTTGGCCCTCTTTTGTTATGGTAATTCCACCTACAAGCAAGGATCCTGCCGGCAGCTACACGTCTGCCACCACAGCTGCTGTCTGGCCTTGGGTGCCAGACACCTGACTTCTTCTTCCCCTGTTCCAGATTGAAGGGGCTATTTTTCCCTTTGCCCCCTAGTATATATACCCGACTTGTGTTTAATAAAGTTGCCATTTACTCTTTGGTGAATGAGCATGATCTCTTTGTGTGTGTCTGTTCAACCCTTAGGATATTCATCCATTCTCGTGGACTTCATTAGGGAAAGCGCGCACCTGAATCAGGTGTGGGTATTCACAGAAAAGTACAGCCAACAGTCCCCTAGAAAATTTATTTATTTAATGTACACGGGTGTTTTGTATGCAAAACATGTATGTCTGTGCATGAGTGTGCAATGCCCATGAAGGAACTGAAGTTATAGTTTGTGAACCACCATGAGTGCTGGCAATCAAACCCAGGTCCTCCGGAGAAGCAGCCATGAGTGATGGTAACCAAACCCAGGTCCTCTGGAGAAGCAGCCAGTGCTCTTAAGAGCTAAGCCATCTCTCCAGCCCTGAGACAACAACTCTGTGTGTGTGTGTGTGTGTGTGTGTGTGTGTGTGTGTGTGTGCATAGTAGAGTGCCCTATGTCAACAAACATCCCTCTCCCCGATGAGGAGACACTGCTCAACCACACACACACAGAGAAAGGGAGGGGTGTCCAAAATCTTTTTGACTAGCCAGCCAGCTGGTTCCCAAATCCTTTGGAGGTAACATGACTCCCTGTCACTGATTTCAAAACCTTCCGGATGGATATCAGTTTCAAAAACGGTCTTTGACTCTGATCTAGCCTTTACACATAGAAAAAAAGAGATGCTCTGACCTGCAGTGGTCAGCCCAAGGTCATCCATCAGCAGTGAGGGAGGGACCTCTGTGTGCTCCTCTTTCCCCAAGGCAAATGTGTGTCTGGGGGAGCCAGAGTTGCTCTCTGTGCTACATCTAAACATCAGGTGGACAACTGAGGCCACAATGACGTCACATTTAACCTGGAAATCCAGAGGGTAGCAGATGTTCTACATATGGGTTTCGGTGACATCTCTCCCCGTCCCTTGCAGTGACCTCTGCTGAGACCCTGCACAAGGAGTAACTTCCTACTCCCAAACCAAAGAGAATTCACGTGAGGTTTTGCTTTAGGTCAGGGTGAATGCAAGCCACTTGGCCACTGAAATCTTCTTCTTGGTGATCAAAAGTACTGAATGGCACTTAATACCTGGTTTGTTTGTTTGTTTGTTTGTTTAAAAAACAAACAATTATGGCTCTCAATACAGTTCTCCAGGGTAGGCAAAGTCTCTGTGGACACTGGATCTTCAAGGGTGTGGAAGGCTCAAGTAAAGCACCATCAAGGCTGGAGCGTGAGGGCCTCTTGGCTAGGGAGTCACAGAAGGCTTCGTTTTCTCAGCGCGGCACTCACGGTACACCAGGAAGGGATGGGCCAACGTCAGAAAAATGGCAAGCCCCATTGACACCTGGGGAGACAGAGAGGAGGGGCCAGTCCAGTAACCATGAGCTGCACCTATCACCAGCAGAAGGAACAAAGTCCTACCTGGGCCATATTTCTCCCTCCGACACACATATACCAAGCTGACCTAAAGGACTTGTGGTTTATTTTCATAATTTTTTCTTTCTTGAGATAGATCTCACATGGCTCAGGCTGACATTGAACATCTAACCCATCTCCCAAATGGTGGAATTACAGGCATGTAGCACCACACAGGACATATTTAGTGCTGAGGACTGAACACGGGGCCTTGGGTGTGGTACAGAAGCACTGTACCAATAAGACACATGCCAGCCCCTACGAAGCACATTTCATGGGTTGTCCCGCGCTTCCGTCTCGCCAGCAAGAACCACGCGGTACACATAGGATCCTTCTGCAGAAAAGCTTTATGTCTCTTGGGAGCTAGAGCATAAGCCACATGGCGGAGACCCAGATAAGATGGAACCCATCCCTTATATAGGAAACAGACCCTGCTTTGGACGTGTCATTCTTGGATTGGTCAACTGCTCCCAGTCCCAGGTGATACCTTGGGAGTAGTGGAAAAATACCAACACGTGTGAGCTTTCTAGCTCACCTGGCGGTGCAGCGCCATCTATGGTGGAGAGTGTGGTTGCGGCCTTCTACAATGGGTGAGCAAACAGTGGCCTAGAGACTTGCACTGGTCACTGAGGAGCTGGGGAGACAGCTAAATGTTAAGTTAGGTCTCCTGATGTCACAATTGAGGAAATTTTTCTTAGTTTTTAAGTGTAGTCTCGTTACTCCTAGTGATAGATTTAAAGACTTGCGTTACACTTTAATCTTAAAAGAATCATATTTAAGGCCGGGTGGTGGTGGTGCACACCTTTAATCCCAGCACTTGGGAGGCAGAGGCAGGTGGATCTCTGTGAGTTCTAGGCCAGTCTGGTCTTGGGTACCAGTTGCGTCTCTCCTTTCACCATGGGCCCTAGGGGTCAAACTGAACTTGCCAAACTTGGCAGCAAGCACCCTGACGACTAAGCCATCTTTCCTGCTCTTCTGATCTCTTTTTAATGAGGCAAGTAGAGTCATCAGTGGCCAGAACTCTGACTTTCAAGGGCAGAGACTTCTATCTTAGCTGTGTGTGACTCTTGAGTATCTGAGTTAATAAGTCACTCAATTTCTTTGATGCTCAATTTCCCCCAGAGTTGAAGAGCCGGGACCTCCTAGGGTTGACACATTAACATCCCCAGGGATGGAAGCATGAAGCTCCTGGCCTCAGAAAAACGTAGTCTATGCCAGAGTCTCCGTAGAGAAGCCAAGGTTGGTCTACACTGACTGAAAGTGGGAAACCCTTTTGCTTGAAATTCTGAGAGTATTTTATACCCTCTTCTGGAGTAACATATATTTATGCACACACTCACAAACAACTGTTTTTCTCCAGACCTATGAAAAGCACAGGCTCTCAGAGAATCTTTTGATCTTAGGAAACCCCAGCTTGAGCCAGGTTTCTGCCATCACCCTAGTTTGAAAAGTAAACTCTGGATGCTCTGGGCTCTGCATCATGGAAGCCTCTAACACACCCAGGCCTCTTGAGCCAGCTTAGGGTGCCCCCTGCTGGGGCCCTAGGCACTAGGTCCAGTCTGGTTATCCTTTCTAATCAAGGACCCACATACACACTGGCCAGAAACAGGCCCTGGATGTTACTCACGTAAACGGCGATGTTCTGGGGGGAGAGTTTGAACAGGGGGAACTGCAACAAAGACACAATAGCGGACAGAGCCATCGCCAGCCCAAACAGCTTGCCAAAGTGCTCTGAAGGAAACCTAGGGGAAGAAAGACAGGTTTCCGTGAGTTTTACAGTCCTCTGGCTCCAAGCAGAATTTATTTAAGAACGCTGAGCATCCAGCTCTCCTGTCCTGGGCCTGCCGTTCACTCCCCCACACAAGTCTTCCCTTCTCCCACTCTGCTCAGACCTTCTAACCTTATGACCAGGGCACTGTAATGGGCCCTGGAAAAACAGAAGGGTCCCGGACCCAGCCTGTGCCTGGGAGAGACAGATGCAGTGATAATGGAGGAAGCAAGAACAGAGTTCCGAGGATGCAAAGAAGGGAAAATAACTTTGTAACTCTTCTCTGGGAGAGTGAGAACAGAAGCGGGCAGTGAGGACTGAATAGGACAGAGACTCTCAGTGGACACAAAGCCTCTGGTGTGTGAACGCTCCCTCCTTCCCACCTATCAGTCTCTAGCCAGCACCCCTTCCTCACATGCCCTCGGACCTGGTCACCTCCAGGCCCACCCCACTCCACAATTCCTTCCCTGCCAGCCCACTGTCCCTTTACCCAGCCTCACTTACGCCAGCGTGAGGAAGGCAGCGTTGCACCCATAGAGGAAGGAGCGGCTGATGACTTGCAGGATGAAGGTGGCGTACTGCAGCTGGATGACAGGAATGGAGGCACACAGGATAAAGCCCAGGCACAGCAGAGATGTCAAAGCCAGTGAAGGCACCGTGGAGCAGAGAGCTGCGGCTAGATGACACAAGGCTAGATGACATAAGGCTAGAAAGAGACTTATGGGGTAGAGGCCAGGAAGAGGAGGCGGGGCCAACAGGAGGAGGCGGGGCCAACAGGAGGAGGCGGGGCCAGCAGGAGGAGGCGGGGCCAGCAGGAGGAGGCGGGGCCGAGGGGGCAGTAGGGATGAGGAATGAATAAGAATAGTGTATACTGAATTATGAAATGCCATAAGGAAGCCTACAACACTGCATGCTAACTATAAAAATTAATTTTAAGAAGAATGAGCATCCACAGAGCGAGTGAGCACCCAAACTGAGGTCTCTAAAGGCTGTTTCCAATTGAGACCCAAGAGTATTTGGACAGATGACCAGTTTCAAGCCCAGTGCAGGAAACAGGTCCAATTCAACAGACCCGATCCTCTCCCTGCTCTAGAAGGCAAGGACGCTGTCTAAAGTTAGTAAGTCCTGTCTGACGGTCCCACAAAGATGGGTCAGCGTGAGCCTGAAGAAGAATGGTGGGGGCCTGTGAGCTGGCTTAGCAGGTAAAGGTGCCTGGCGATCGTCATTCCATAGCTCGGATCCACATGGTGGAATGAGAGAGCTGAACCCCACAAATTGTCCTCTGAAATTCACTCTGGCATGCACCCCTCCGCCCCCCCACCAACAAATAACTATATAAACATAATAAAAGATACTTTAAGCTAGGCATGGTAGTACACACCCCTAATCCCAGCACTCAGGAGAGGGAAAGGTCTATAAAAGACTAGTGAGGGCCAGGATTGTGGTTCTGAGGGACAGCACTTGCTCAGCAGAGGAGAAGCCCTGAGCCCAGTCTCCAGGACTGAAGAAGGCAGAGCAGGATGGAAGCATAGCACATGTCAGATATATTGTGTGGTTAAAAATTTTAAACAAAGCAATCCTCCCTCAAAAAGAAAAAAAATTGGGTATGATTCTATCTCATGGTATACACATATGAAATTCTCAAAAATAAAGTTTGCAAAAGAAAAATAAGTAACTTTTAAACATCCTGAAACTGGTTAAACAAGAGGAAGGCAGGCGTCTCCTTCAGCATGAAGAACAGTCCGAGAAATCGTGTCTTCTGGAGGAATCGTATCTGCTAAAAGCTGAAGACGGAAGTAGCACTCTAATCAGATCATGGGTCTCAAATTGATCACAGTGGTTGTGAAATCATTAGTTGCTCGGGCTAATGGGAAGCTCTATAGCAGATAGATCAGACTGTCAAATTCCGAGGCAACTGACCTATGTCAGCGCCGTAACAGCAAAGACGGTGGACCAGCAGGGGCCTGCAAAGGAACCAGAGAAAGGCCACAACTCCATTCCCACGAATTTCTTGCCAGAAAAGAAAAATTGAGTCTCCTCCAAGCTTCGAATCTGCCTATTTACAGGAAATGTCCAATCAAAGGAACCCATTCACGAAATACCCAAAGGATGCCAAGACCAAATGTGGGAAATCTGACAGGAAAAATATTCCACTCTCTTCAACAAATAACTAACATAAATCGTAAAGGAAGAGTATCGGGGTGAGGGATAGAACTCAGCGGTAAAACATTCGCTGCGCATCCGTGAGGCTCGGGGTTCTGTTCTCGGTACCAGAGAAAGAAGAGGAAGAAAGGTCCGCTAGCTGGACATGGGGGGAAGCCTGTCATCCCTGCACTTGGGAAGCCACAGCAGAAGAACCAGGAGTCCAAGGCCTCAACTACAGAGTGGGTTCAAAGCCAGCCTTGGTTATATAGTAACTTGGAGGCTAGCCTAGGCTAGAGGAGGCCCTGTCTTAAACAAATAAATGTTTAAAAATAAAGATGCCAAAAACACATCAATTGAACTTTGTCCTTTCAACTCCGTGTGGACTTTGTACAGAGACACTGAACAAACCAGTCATGAAACGATGCACCGAGGACCGTCAGGGAGATCTGAAAAGCAGCTGCATAGTAGAAAATATTAAGAAATCATGGGGGATTTTCATGGTGATATTTATTTAAGAGGGGCTCTGTTAAGGACAGTCTATGAAGTATTTGCAAGCAAATACGGTATATTGTCTAAACTTGATTTCAAAATCCTGCCGTAGGGCTAGGGTGTAGAGAGCAGGGAGCGGGAGCAGGCAAAGCGAACAGCAAACATGGTTTCTCTATCCCTTACCCTCCAGCTCCCAAGGGATGAAGGGTCCCAGCAACCTTCTGTTCTGCCAGTCACACGTAAGGATCACATTCTAACTCTCTATGGCACAGTGAGTAGGATCCCTTCTCACGATCTCTCCAGGTTCTTCCTGCGACTCTCGTGCACTCTGCCTTCTGGTGAGCTTCAGTCGCTGGCAGGAAGGACCCAGATCCCTGAATGCCTGTTCTTTCACCACTACCATGCCTGGTGCCCTCAGCCACCATCAGGCCCCTTGTGTTTTCCATCCTGGTTTAGATGCCACTCCCTCTGCCTTCCCTAGCAGCTCTGCTTCACCCAGAACAGGAGATATACCCGGCTCAGTGTCCAGAGCCCTTTGTGTGCTCGCCGAGGCTCCCAGACTCACAGTGGAGCTACATCAAAAACCAAAAATACCGTCAATTTTAAGATGCATTTAATATACTTAGCCTATGGGGTGTCGTGGCTCAGTGTATGCTAGCTCAAATGTGCTCAGAGCATTTCACATGGGGGGGTGGCAGGGGGCAAAACCACCTAACAGAAAGCCTACTATACAATGAAGTGCTGACTCTCTCATGTAGTCTGTGGACAATAAAGATGGATACAGAATGGCTATGTGGGTGTGACGTTGCCTCATCGTAGACACAGCACTCCATCGGTTACAGACCATCTGTAACGTACGGATGGTAACTACCTGATTACCTTGCCCCACCCTCTGGATTAGGAACAGCTTCGGAGGACAAGATACACCTCTCTCATCCATTGTTAGGTCTTCATGGGTCTGGTACTGTGCCACAAAATGGATGACCAAGGGTTGAATGGCTAGATGAGCAAGTTCAGGGAGAAAGACTAAAGCAAAGATAAGTAGACTGTGGGAGTCTGTGAAGAGCTCGCTCCTGGCTCCCAGCCTCACCTGTCTTCTTGGCTTCCTTCTGAAACTTCTGCTTAAGACGGTCCATGAGCATGCCATTCCAGGGGGCACACAGCACCCCGAAAAACTGGGTGATGGCGAAGGCATTTGTGAACGTGCTGACTGCAGAGAGGGTTTGGGCAGGAAGAAATTTTCAGGGTAATGGACAAGAGAAGACTCTCCCATTCCACCTTTCTCTTCCCCAGCCCTGCTCCCCAGGTCCCCAGAAACCCTCCTGGAGCACATGGCTCCACAGGCACAGCACCCATTCCTGAATCTCTACCTGAGACCAACTGGGAGACGGCTTCGAAGCCCACCACATACCTTGCACACTGTCAGTACCAGCCAAGCTGGTTAACAGAGAGTTGAGAGTGCCAATGAAGAGGTAATGCCATAACTGAATGGTGGACAGCCATACCACATGCAAGATGAACCGGCGTGACAGCGCACAGCTTCGAAAAGAGCGTTGCTCCTGCTGCGGCTGTTGCTGCCCTGGTCCAGAGCTCTCTGACGGAGAAAGAGGGACGTGGACATCAGTGACAGAGAAAAAGGACAGTCTGGATGGACCAGAGTGGCCCTTCACAAGACAGTCTCAGGCCTGAGCTCACCTTCCATGCTTGTCTTCCATAGCTCCCTAGACTCCCTCTGTCCCTCCACCCTGCTTAGTCATCTTGTCCTTCCACCTCGGATGGCTCTCCTTCTGTTCTTCCGCGTCCTGAAATTTGATCTGTCTCTCACAGACTACTCAATGACACTTCTGGCTGTACCTTCCTGAGCATTCTCAGCCAGGTCGGTGAGAAGAAAGACAAGGACAAAGTGTGGACTAGTGACGGACAGCTATCGTTCTGACCTGTTCTGTGTCCCCTGCCTTTCTTTTGGCCCCAGAATCTCTCATTTCCTTAGGACTCCCTTGCGATCCCTGGTCCAGTTGAGACCGTGGATTAAATGGTCTGTTCCTCAAATAGTTGACCTGAGAAGGTAGGCTGGCTAAAGGCTACAGGAATGCCCAGAGGCGGCCTGGTTTCATACCTCTGTAGCCTGGCAACTCACTTTCCTCTTGACTATGTGAGCCTTCCACAGTCTTCTTACTCTTTTTGTTGTCTGAGACAGGGTCTTACATAGTCAGTACTGGCATTGAACTCAGTATGTAGCTAAGGCTGACAGTGAACTTCTGATCCTTGTTACCATGATGCCCAGATGTACGCAGTGCTGGGATTGAACCCAAGACTTTGCACATGCTAGGCAAGGGCTCTAGTGACTGAGCTACATCCCTGGCCCCTATTCTTTTTTAACAAATAAATTTCATTGCATGTATTTAAGGCATACAACATGCTGTCATCGGGTACATATAGATAGTAAAATGGTTACCATAGCAAAGCAAATTAACATATCCATCATCTCATATTGTTGCCCATTTTTGTTGTGTGCCAAGAACAGCTAAAATCTGCTCATATAGAAAGGGAAAAAAAAAACCCAATCCCAAATACAATGTAATTCTATTAACTGCCCTGCTCTGGAAACTGCTTTCTCCTGCCCAGCTGCTACTTCTGCCCTCTGACCTGCCTCTCTCCGTTCCCTCCCGCCCTCCTCCTATTTTTACTTCTACTGCAGCCAGAGATGGTTTATAATATTCATAACCAAAGACCCAGAGCAGACAGAAGAGGGAAAGGAAGAAGCAATGAAGAGGGGACAGATGGAAAGGGGTCAGATCCAAGAGACGTAAAGAAATGGAGACACAGATGGCATCCTTGGTGCCCTGGGATCCCAGGAAAGTCAAGACCAGGATGTGGGAATCAGGGCACTGGAAGGTAGATTTCAGCGTGAGGAGAGTTGAAGTGCATGGGTAAGGGAAGAAAGAAAGAAACGCTGAAAATACACAAAGGTTGGTCTTGCCCTGTCTGGATCCTCTCTAAAGTGAGAGGATTGAGTAAATGCTTACGGGTTCTTCCTTGCCTGGCCTGGCCTCATTCTGAGCCCCTGGGAAGATGTCCTGGAGTTAAGAGCAGACAGGCACAGGCTGCCGTGTCTGCGGGAGACGTGGGAAAACCAGCAGAACTCACCTTCCTTTGATGAAAGCTCCTTTGACTGAAGCTCCTTAGTTTCATGCTCGGCTGCTTTCTTCTCTTCCTTTCTGGTCCCAAACCTAGAGCACAGGCTGCGGAAACAGGCCAAGCACTGTGAGCGAGCTGGACCAAACCCAGACCAGAGCCAACAGTGCAGGGGATCCTCATCGTACTGCGCATGGAACCACTTCTGAGCAACCTTGTTGGACAAGTAGCAGCCCAGACCAAGTACATCAGAATGTCTACTGGCTAAGGGCCAGCTTTCCATTTTTCTGTTTTCTTTTTTACTGTAATGATCTGATTGATTCTCATAGACAGATAAAGCTTGGGGTACTTGGGAAGCATGGAAGAGGGTGGATCTTGCTACACATCTCAGCTCTGACTCTTTCTCACCCCTCGGAACCTTATTTCTCAGAGTTGGACAGCAAAGGCAAGGCTGTCCGTGGGAAAGGTGGCCATGAGAATGGAACTCAAAGAGCACATGGGGCATCACAACAGCAAGTGAGCAGCAATTGAGGATGGCGCCTCGCCTCCCTATAGCTGGCAGCTGACGTGACTGTGGCATTCACCTCCTCTGTCTCCGTCCCTGGCAATGGACTATGCCCATTTCTCATCATCACCTAAGCCAGACACGTGAAGTGCTCCAGCCGAGAGAATGTAGCATACAAGAGACACATCAACATAGCATACAAGTGACACATCAGCATAGCATGCAAGTACACATCAACACAGCATACAAGTGACACATCAGCATAGCATACAAGTACACATCAACATAGCATACAAGAGACACATCAACATAGCATACAAGTGACACATCAACGTAGCATACAAGTGACACATCAACGTAGCTACAAGTACACATCAACACAGCATACAAGTAACAGATCAACACAGCATACAAGTGACACGTCAACACAGCATACAAGTGACACATCAGCATAGCTTACAAGTGACACATCAACGTAGCTACAAGTACACATCAACACAGCATACAAGTAACAGATCAACACAGCATACAAGTGACACATCAACATAGCATACAAGTGACACATCAGCATAGCTTACAAGTGACACATCAACACAGCATACAAGAGACACATCAACACAGCATATAAGTACACATCATTTCCAAGTCGAAGCTCCAAAGAACCGTGGGCATTTCTGCCCCCTCTCTGAACCCTGGAACCACTTTGTGCACACACACAAGCAAGCCTGCTAGAGCATTAGCCTGTGACACCAACATGCCTGCCACACTAAACCCAATGTCAGCTAGGGCATGGCAGACCAACCAACTCCCTGCTAACACATCAGATGATCAGAGGCATGAATGATAAGACCATCCTAGTCTGGCTCTGATGTAGGAAATAAATTCTTAGGATCTGGAGAGATGATTCGGTCATTAGAAGGACTTTCTGCTCTTTTAGAGGATCCAGGCTTGGTTCCCAGCACACAGGAGCTCACACCTATCCGTAACTCTAGTTCTAGAGGACCTGACACTTACTTATGACCTCCGTGGGCACCAAGCACACACATGAGACACATTCATTTACACAGGCAAAGCTCTCGTACACATAAAATAAAAATTAGTAAATTCTTTTTAAGAAGAAAGGAAGAAAGGAAAAACAAACGTATGGTATCCTTGTCATGTGGGAGTAGCTAACTAATACGCTCTTCTCCTATAACACACAGTTGTTCCTTTTTCCTGCCTCAGATGAGGTGAGGCCTTGGCCAATCATGCTTACCCATAACTGTAGTTGGGAGGCAGTGGGTAGGGGATATGTCCCTGAGGCATCAGGAGAAGAGTGCGCCCAATGTGCCAGACACTGCAGACAGACAGGAAGAGGAAGGAAGCCCTGAGGCTGATGTCGCGTTCATGAAGGAGCTATGGAGAGAGGAGCAACTCATCAGAATAACACCAGGGATCACAAGAGTGTTTTAGACCATGGTCAAAGGTGGGGAGACAAAGTGACTGCGGGAAAGCGGATGAATGTTGTACGGCTACTTGACGGAGTATTAGTCGGCCTTTAAAAGGGGAAGGCTATCGTGGCACAATATGGATAAACCTTGAGAACAGGACATCAAGTGAAGATAGCCAGTCACAGAAAGACAAATTCTGTATCATTCTACCTACGAGAGATTCCTGGGATAGTCAGCCTCATATAGAAAGCAGAATAGCAATTGTGAGAGGTTGGAACGGGGGCGGGACTAAGGAGGAACTTGTGTGAACAGGTACAGGGTTCCCATTTTACAACGTGAACATTTCTGGGGATGAAGGATGGTGCTGCTTGCTCAGCAACATAAACATACTTAATACTACTAGACTGTGCACTAAAAACTGGTTATGGGTCAGCAGGATGGCTCACTGGGTGAAGGTGCTTGTTACCAAGCTTAATCTGAGTTTCTCACCCACAACCCACACGATGGATGGACTCCCTCAAGGTATCTTCTGACCTCCACCAACATGCTCTGCCCACCCCCCAACACACACACACACACACACACACACACACACACACACTACATCAATAGATAATTTTTTTAAAATCCTGATCGCAAATTTTATGCTATATGTATTTTATCACATGCGAAAAGTGTAGGCGGCAGAAGCCGGAAGCCTCATTTCTAAGAAGCTCCAGCACAGCTCCTTCCTGCCCTCCCGGAGGTGCCCAAGGACTCCTGGTCCTCACCATTCTTCACCTAGGGCCCAGGAAGCAGTGGGGGCCACCTTGTCACCTGGTCCTACAGCCTTGTGGCACCTCCTCACATGACTCTCTGAGATCTTTTAGTCTAATGCTATTCCTCTCCAATTGCAAGACGTCCTTCCGGCCAACTCTTCCCACAAGAGTCCAGCTTATCACTGGACTGAGCATGCAGAGGCCAGTCAAAGAGAGGGAGGAGGGATTAAACGAGCAAACGGGTCAAGGCCATGATGGGGAAATCCACAGAGACAGCTGACCTGAGCTAGTGGGAGCTCACTGACTCTGAACTGGCAGCTGGGAGCCTGCATAGGACAGAACTAGACCCCCTAAATGTGGGCTACAGTTGTGCAGCTTGGGCAGTCTGTGGGGCCACTGGCAGTGGGACCAGGATTTATCCCTAGGGCATGAACTGGCTTTTTGGAGCCCATTTCCTATGGAGAAATACCTTGCTCAGCCTCAAAGGGGAAGGGCGGGGGGTCTTGCCTCAACTTGATATGCCAAACTTTGTTGACTCCCCATGGAAAGCCTTACCCTTTCTGAGGAGTGGATGGAGAGATGGGGAGGGGGTGGGTGGAAGGTAGGGGGATGGGAGGAGGTGAGGGAGGGAGAACTGAGGTTGGTATATAAATGAAAAGAAACTTTTAGTAGAAAATAATAATAAAAGACTATATTTTTTAAAAAAAACAAGGAATTCAGCTTATAAAAGACATCTGTGGGAAGCCACAGGGCCACTCTCTCTGTGTTCCCCAGAGTGACTCACACAACAAAGGGAACCTCTAAATTCCTCAACTTCCAGGTTTGAAACCACGAACTTAGACAAACCTCAGAGGCCACAGAGAAAGCAGCTGACACCTATTGAACTAAGACTCCCACTCCTGCCCCAGTCCTTCCCTCCCCGCTCTGAAGAGGAGATGCATCAAGGCAAGGGAACCTGGGACGTGGCTCTTGCACCAGCCGCAGAGGGTCTAGCGAGCCCCAGGCAACTCAGACTCTGCCCAAGGCGCTCATGGGACTAAGTGAGGTTCGTGAGCCCACAGGTGGTCTGACCACAGTCCAGGGAGAGTGCCAGCTTGAGCAGTTTGGGGTCCACCGCCTTCCCTCCTATTGCTTTGTCACTGCATCCCCGCTGGTCGCCTTTTAATCAAAGCGTGGTTATGGCAGCGTCACCTCCCACACTCTCCATCCCACTGCCTTCAAAGAGGAAGAGCAGAGAAAGACAGGAAGAAGGCTTCTGGTATTGCACAAGGTCTTGGGTAGACCAGGTAGGCTGAGCTCACTGCATAAAATGACCTTGAACTTCTGATCCTCCAGCTGTCAGCAGCCTAGTGCTGGGACTGCAGGTGTGCTACTCAGCCTGATTATGCAGTGGGAATTGAACCAGGCTTTGTGCGTGTGTGCGAGGCAGGCGTTCTAACTACTGAGTTAGTCCCAGCCTCAAGGTTTTCTTTCTACTCTGCTCTCACCCTTCCTCAAGGAGGAAACGTCCCCTCAAGTTAGGCACTACACACCCGCTTTATCTCATTTGCTGGGGCTTTATGACGTGCCCAGCTCCACTGTCCCTGGTGGTAGAGACAGAGCTTGCCGTGGTTACCTTAGACCAATCAGAATCCATCCCACGGGCTAGGTAAGGCACGAGCAAGATAAAACTGTTAGCAATGATATAAACACTAAAATCATTAGGAAAGCCAGGTCTATGATTCCTGCCTGTAACCTCAGCACCGGAGAGCCTAAGGCAGAATGGCAGAGAGCTTGAGGCTAGCCTGGGCTACAAGATCAGTCCAGCCTGCCCTACACAGTCAGATGCTGTCTCAAAACCAAATTACTTGAAGCTAGGTATCGTGACACACGACTGTAACCCTGGCACTTGGAGGCTGAGGAAGAATGATCAGAGTTTGAGAGAAAAGTGGACTCCACAGTGAGTCTTGGGCCAGCTGAAGAGGCTTTGTCTTAAATAATAACAACAATTAATTAATTTAATTTAATAAAAAAACATTAGCAGAATGGTTGTTAATGGGCTACTAAACATCCTTGCCAACTCTTTGTTCTCTGACATTCATGGCTAGCCCTTGGGAGAGCTAGAAAGGCCCCTGTGTGGTTTCCAAGGTCCCCACTAGCCCTTCCTACCCCTTCCCAAAGCTGCAGCTCGCTCAGGAAATGCCCCCTCCTACAGAGTTCCCAGTTTCTGTCCTTCCCTGACTCAAGCATATCATGACCACATTTTCCTTCCTAGCTAAGAGAGTATAGTCTTCATGTAAAGAGGGAGCTCAGTGATCACAAGCTCACCTCCAGAAAAAAGACAGGCCCCGATACAAGTTCAAATCCCATGGTTACCAGCGCGGAACCTTTGGAAGTATCGTGACATCCCTGAGACTCAACTGTGTCACCTGAGGAATGGGAGTTAACTTACGCCTACCTTGAAAGCTGACCAAAACCACCACAGGATGGGATGTGGAATAAGTAAGGGCTCAGGGGCTCAATAAGGGTTGAGTAATATCACAGGTGTGACGAGGTAGGTGACGGTGTGCAGAGGCCAGAGGACGTCCTCGGGCACCATTCCCCAGGGGACAGGGCCTCTCACTGGCCTTGTGATTTGCCGTGTGAACGAAGCCAGCCAAGCACACACCAGGACACTCTGCTTTTTCACGCGGGCTCTGGAACTCTAACGTGGGTGCTTGTGCATGCACAGAAGTTACGTTAGTCCCTGGACTGTCCCCTCAGCCCAGCTACAGGTATTTTTACCTTAATGATGAGGAAGACTACGGAGGAGGAGTCAAACGCCCCATTGTACAGGGTGATGATGGTTGAGCGGTGTTTGCCAAAGAGATTCCCGATCTGGAGAAGACAAATCGAGCCGATTTGTTTAATCACGAAACAGTTATTTTCCCTCCTTCGCACCCAGCTTAAGCCAGGCATGATTAATATCCCAACCACTTTCCCCCCAGTTCCTCCCACTCTGGTTTGGGTCAACCCCTCTGGAAACAAATGATGTCCCCTTCTCCCCCAGGTTCTCGGGTAAAGGCGGACACAAGCTCACACCTGTAGGTTGGTGATGAGAAACAGGATTCCTCCCACGGCGAGCATGGGCATGGCCAGGAAGAGCAGCAGGGCAGTGTCTGAAACCATAAAAGTCACAGGAGCCGTGATCTCATTGCAGCCCAGAGCCCCGGAAGTTGTGCACACTCCCCTCTCCTCCAGGAGGCTCCAGCTCCTACCAGCTTTAGATTCCCAACAATACTTGGAGGTCATTTCACCAGCCTGCTGGTATCCTTTGAGGGCTTTAGGGAATGGTCACTAGACTACCCAGTCATGCCTGCTGAGATGTCCTGAGACCCTCTTCTCCTCATTAAAGATGGTCCTGGCTCTCTGCTATCCCACAGATGCCTGCTCCATCACTGCAGGAGTCGGTCCCCAAGTCCAGCCTCAAAACCACCCCGTGACCATGACCTTGAGCAACCTTCTGAATCTGCCTCACTCTCCTCCCCACTGCACAGACACCAGAGACTCTGCCCTGCCTCGCTGGAGTCTGTGAAACGGAGAGAGATGCCTGTGACCTTTCCCTTTGTGAAACTTTGAGCGCTCCCCTTGTGGAGAGATTGGCATTAGAAATGTTGCATGAAATTAAGCATGTTCCTGGTTTTAACATAACAATAACAAAAACCAACAAGTTAGCAAAACTGACATGTAAACACCATGTTAGTGTTCGGTAGTCGTATCTAAACGACTCAAAATCACTGAAAATGTAACTTTTAAGAGGAACAAATTTGGCCGGGCAGGGGTGTCCTATGCCCTTAATCCTATCACTCAGGAGGCAGAGGTGCGTGAATCTCTCTGCATTTAAGGCCAACCTATAGAGAGAATTCTAGGACAGCCAGGGCTACACAGAGAAACCCTGTTGCACCAGTTAATCCAAAACTTGTTGGTATATTAAGTCTGTGCTAGCAATCTCGGTTTATGGTTTGTTTGTTTTTTGTTTTTTGGCAAGGGAGTCTAGATTTGTGTGTGTGTGTGTGTGTGTGTGTGTGTGTGTGTGTGTGTGTGTGTGATGTGCACACATACTGGCATATCTGTGAATGCCAGAGGACAACTTTTGGGAGTTGATTCTCTCCTTCTACCATGTGGGTCCTGGGAATCAAACTCAGGTCAGACTTGGTGGCAAGCACCTTTGCCCACTAGGACATCCTGGCAACCCCTTAGCATCCTTTAAGGAACTATTGTTCTCTGCCTAGGGAAGCTCTGGAAAGAGATGATTTTTTAGAGATGACTCACGCTATTTGCCATTCACTTTCTGCCGTTAACAAATGTACATCTCCTAATGAGCTAAAGACTGGAGACCAGTTTCACAATAAAATCACCCTAGCCTCAATACTTACTCCAGAATAAAAGTGCTGATTTTTGGAAGAAGAGGGACTTTTGCTGGGCTGGGCTGGTGTAATGGCTTGAATAAGGATGGCCCCCAAAGGCTCATATATTTGAATGCTTGGTCATTAGGGAGTGGGGCTCCTTGACAGGAACTAGGAGGTATGGCCTTGCTGAAGGAAGTGTGTCACTGGGGAGGTGGGCTTTGGGGTTTCAGAAGCCCAAGCTAGGCCCAGTCTCTCTCTCTCTCTCTCTCTCTCTCTCTCTCTCTCTCTCTCTCTCTGTCTCTCTCTCTCTCTCCTCTCTCTCTCTCTCTCTCTCCCTCTCCTCTCTCTCTCTCTCTTCTTCCTTCTGCCTGCGGATCCAACTGTAGAACTCTCAGCTACCTCTCCAGCACCATGCCGGTCTGTGTGACACCAGCCATGCTGATAATGGACTAAACCTCTGAACTGTAAGCCAGCCCCAATTAATGTTTTCTTTTCTGAGTTGTCATGGTCATGGTGTCTCTTCACAGCCATAGGACACCAACAAAGACAGATGAGAAGATGCCCAGCAGGTACGAGCGTCTATGGCCACCAAGTATAACTTGATCATCAAGTTCTAGGTAAAATGAGAGATGCTGCCTCAAAACCAGAAGGTATCTGAGGGGCCGATGGTACACTTCTGGCTTCTACTTACATGTACACACAGTCTCCATGCACACTCAAGTGAAAGCACAAGTCTACACACATACACAAGTAAATAATAACAGAAATGAATAATAGGAGATATTTGCTCAAAACTCACAAATGCAAATACACATGTAAGTTATAAAATAAGTAAATAAATAGAGGCTTATTGCTTAAAACTTACAAAAGTGACTCCTATGAGATTTGTTTGAACCAAAACACTCAGGCCCAGGGCTTGCTAAATGCAAGCAGAGCCTCCTCCATGATGTCAGTTGACTCCAAGACAGCTATTATGCAATGCATTTACATATGTTTATACCTCGAGCCCCAAAATTAAGCCACCTAATCTGACCCCAGGGAAGAATGTTGGTTTTTACTTCTTGGTCACCCTAACCCCACACTTCCTGGCCTTCTTCCCACATATTTATCTATGATCTCAGGCAAGTCTTCAAACGCAGCCTGTGTGCTCTGTCTCTCTCTGTCTCTGTCTCTCTCTGTCTCTCTCTCTCTCTCTCTCTCTCTCTCTTGTCTCATCTCAGTTTCTGTTCCCCATAACAAAGGGAAGAAAACAGACAACTGGGATTTCCGGACTTTTATAGTAATCATTGGAAGCATTTTTTTTTTTTTTGCGTGCAACAGGGTTATCAATTTTGATTCTGTTAATTGAAGATATGTTCAGAATTGTCTGGCATGTTACAAAAAAAAAAAGAAAGCATTTTAATATCGTGTAGATACAACTCTTTCCTCAGTAGGATAAACGTCTCACAGACAAGCAACAACCCTGCAACTCTTAGGGATTCTTTCAAATCGTGCATCTCTGAAAATACCACGGGCCCTCTACCTTCTGCACCTGTCCCCCCCAGCTTGTCTCTCCCACTCACCCACAGAGGTGAAGGCGATGATGAGTGTGGCACAGGTGTAGAAAAATCTGAAATACAGAGGCATCCAATTAAAAGAAGAAACGTGAGGACCAACCAGGAACCTGCTCGACCTCCAACATTGGATAGAACTCGACCTCATTCTCAGCCAAGGAACTCCAGAGACACAGACACTTCTGAGAGGCGGCTCAGCACCGGAGAAGTCCTGGCCGACTGAGATGCGGACTCCACAGATAGTGTGAGAGTAAATCTCAATTGTAGACTTGATGAGAAACTAGAATGACCTCGCACTGAGGTGATTACATTAACTGATATGGGAAGGCCCATCTTGACTTGGGTGAACCATTCCCATGGCAGGGGATCCTGGGTTAGATAAAACAAGGAAAGTGAGCTCAGTACTCATCCTCTGCGTGACCACAGATAACTGTCGACAGCTCCCTTGAACTCCTGCCATCGAGACCTCCCGACCATGATGGACTGGAACCTGAAAAGGGCTTCCTCCCTTAAGTTGTTTTTATCAGGGTATTTTTTCCTCATAACAGAAAAGTAATTAAGACAATGCATTTTGCTCCTCCCAGGCTCTAAGGCTAAACTGGGAAGTATGTAAAAGACTCAGGAGCATGGGTCAGACCAAGCACAGGCAGGCCCTCTTGTCCGGAGTGATAGGGGAGTTCAGCCAATCACATTCTGTTCGTGGGGCGCGTTGCCCTAAGGCAAAAGTTTACCTATAAGCCTGGCGGGTAAAAGTCCCCCCCACCCCCCCACCCCCACCCCCCGCCCTCTCTCTCCCTCTCGACCTGGCCTGGATTCAGCGTTCCAGACAGGTGGGATTCTATGTAAGATTTTCCTTCTGTTTTATTAAAGCTGTATCTTTTGTAAGAAGTCTGGGGACTTTTCATTACCGATCGCATTGCATCTTCACCCGAGGCCAACTGTTTGGGAAAGGAGTTGATGACTAATCTGCAAATCAAAACCTTGGATTCTAATTCCTCCTCCACAGATGACTTTGGACAAGGCTCTGCCTTTCTCTGGGCCTCAGTGGTCCTTTTCTGGAGAAGGAAGGGTTAGTGACCACATGCAACCAAGGATGGCTATGCATTTGAACTCACAGAATCATAAACAGAGCAAAAGTGCTATGAGATTGTGTGTGTGTGTGTGTGTGTGTGTGTGTGTGTGTGTGTGTGACTGGAGTTTCTGGTTGTTGAGAGTTCAGGTGACAGCTTGGTGTCGCAATGAGAGAAAGGCTGGACTTGCCTGGATCAGACTGATCTAGATTCCAAGCACAAAGCCGCTGAGTTCCCAGCTAGGGGTATGGCTTAGAAGTTGCAGAGGCTTCAATGAAAATGACCCCCATAGGTTCACACATTTATGTCCTTGGTTCCCAGTTGGTGGAAAGGACGCAAGGCACAGCCTTGTTGGAGGAGGTGTGTCACAGGTAGCTGAACTTCAAAAGCCTGTAGCCACCCCAATTGTACTCCTTCTTCCTGCTCGCAGACCCAGACATGAGCGCTTATCTGCTGTGCAGTTACCTAAAGTCATGCCCTCCCTCACCACCGTAGACTCTGGAACCAGAAGCCCAATAAAATGCTTTCTTTTATAAGTTGCCTTGGTCATTTGTTGTTGTTGTTGCTGCTTATTTTTTTGTTTTTTTGTATTATTTTATCACAGCAATAGAAAAGTAACCAGGACAGAAGCAGACACTTCCCTGGCTGGCACGGAGCCCTGGCTTCCACTTCCAGCAGTATAAAAAACAGCCAAGTTCAAGTGATTCCTGGAAAAAAGAATCCTAAGGTTCTAGGGTCCTCTGAGAGGTGGAGGACTTTGTAAACATAGATAACGAAAGCCATACCATAAAAAAAGAAGTTCAAAGGACGCGTGGTGGGGGAAGAGGCAAAAGGAAACGAAAATTCAAGCTTGTCTGACTTACGCTCACTCTTCTCCTGAAAGCTTAAAGTATAAGGAATTTGCTTTACTCTCTGTTTTCCCATCCTGACAGCTCTTCAGTACACGCTCCTGCTTTAAGGCTACACCAGAGATCAGCAGTCCCTGCTTATCAGTGAACTTGGCCAGGAGCATTATAGTAATCAGGAGGCAGCAGAACCCTGCAAAAGCAGCTTGAGGTCTCTGGCTCATCTGCAAGGGAAACCCCCATGGCAAGAATCATCTTAGTCAGAGGCAACCTGAAATTCCACCGTTGGGGTTACCCAGAAAATGATGCGCAGGGGAGAATAAATACACAGCCTGAGCTACCCAGATGTGAGGCCCTGCTGGAAAAGAGACTGAGCGAGATTCCAGAAACTCAGATAAGGAAATCAGATAAGACAAGGAAAGCCGGTAGCATCTCTGAACATTCTGTTAGTTTCGTAACCCTGGCCTCTCAGGAAGTGGAGCGTGTAACAAGATAGTGCATTACTGCCTATAAGGGAAGGAGCAAAGAAAAGGGAACCAAGGGTGTAGGAAGAGGGAGGCCCTTCTCCTTCACCTCTGCCCAGGCTGGAGCTTTAGACTTACATGGCTATCAGGCGGGCCACAGTTGTCTTGAAGCGGTCAAAGATATAGCCAGTGGGGAAAGTCATGAAGTTGTTCATGAAGGATGCCAGGGTGAAGATGAGTGAGAACTTCTCATCCTGAGCTTTGGAGCCTGGGAAAGAAATGCTCTTAGGAACCCAGGTTACGTGAGCCAAAATCAGAATCGCCTAACCTTCCCGCCAGGTTAGTTCCCAGACGAGGTTCTCCTCTATCTGGAACAGCTTTGTTGATCAGAAAGCTAGTTATCAGGTTGTGTTACAATGTAGTGGTCTCTAAGGGCTCCTTCAAAATCTGATACTTCCTTCCTTGACACCCTCTACACAGAGGATTCTGACAGCCCCTCCCTCATGGACAGGCTGGCAAGATGAGTTGGAAGTCGAGTCCTCCCCATGCGAGTCCTCCCCACGCGAGTCCTCCCCACGCTCTTCCACCTCCCAGGAACCAGTTTCTTCAACTTTCCTTAAGAAACCATCGTGGCCCTTACCAGGGGGCCCTGTTGCATTGCTCCTGAGCATGCAGTCCTGTTCACAGGGCTCTGCAAAGTACCCTTCTTGTTTGAACACAAACAACAGTGAAGTCCAGCCAAAGAGGACACCAGCGAAACCGATGCATTCCAGCAGCCCAGTCAAGAGGGTGGCCAAGTAAAGGGGCAGGCCCCTGTTTGCCATGATCTGAAGTGAAGTGGATCCACAGAGCCTCCCCTGAACTTCTGAGACAGGCCGCTGGTAGCAATGTGTGGAAAATTCCTCTGGCGAGCCCTCAAATCCAAAGAGGCCCCTTGCTCCAGCTGTCTCTGGGTTGAGCCAGGAGGACCACGGAATGGTTTAAACGTCTGGATCCTGGAAAAGAAGGCAGAAGCAGCCTGGTACCGGAAGCTTGTGGAAAAGCGGTGGGAAGTGGTCCTCAGGAGAAGGGCACGATGCTTTGGGAAGTGAAAACTTTCCTACATGGCAAGGGAATGTGGCTTGTATCTGGAGTTCATTCCCAAACGTGGAAAAACAAAAGCAAACGACAACAAAACCAATACTGTTTACATCCCCTCTAAATCAAGGCCTCTGTGAAACCACGCATGAGTAAGAAGATAAGGCGAAGTAAGGTAGGTCTCGATGGCAAAGCATGCTGTAGAGGAAAAGACTATTCTGCCCAAAATATGGGGGAGAGAGGACATCAAAAACGAGCGAAGAAACCAGTAACCTGAAAGTCTGAACACAGTCCACTACAAGAGCAGGCACCTTATACCATGCAATGCTCGGGGTAGCAGCTGGAACTCTCCAATGCGCCGAAGTGAAATAAAAACTTCTGAAGGTTTTGTGAACTTGTCTCAAGGTCGCCCGGCTAGTTAGCTGGTCACTACGCAAAAATATCCCAACAAAACCCTTGTCTAGGATCACAAGCCCTGCTGCCTCTGCCAACATCCATTAACTTCCACCAGGCCCAGAGGTCCGCCCCATCCCGCAGCCGCTCTCCCGCAGATCGCTGTCCCCGAAGCCCCACCTCCACCAGACCGCTGCCCTGCCCACCCCGGCCAGCTCTCCTACCCGGTCCTACTCGTGGTCCCACTCACACTCCTCAATTCGACAGTTCTTTCCGCGCGCGCGCGCCAAAACTGGGTTTCCCTGCCGTCGTCGCCCCTCCCAGTCCTCTGCTCACCGCCTCCCGCTCGCCCCCTCCCGGAAGGGCTTGAGACCCGCCCCCCC